TGCAAGGAAGGTTTAATATACACAAGTCAATAAACGTAATTCATCACATTGACAGAATTGAGGACAAAAACCACTAAGTGATCTCAATAGAAACAGAGAAGGACTTCAACAAAAACACTAGAGAAACTAGGAATAGAAGGAAAGTACTTCAACATCATAAAGGCAATATATGAAAAACCCAAAGCCAACCTCACAGTAAATGGGGAATATATGAAGGCTTTAAAATCTGGGACAAGACAGGGATGTCCACTCTCACCATTCCTATTAATGCTAGAAATTCTAGCCAGAGAAATTAGGCAAGAGAAGGAAATAAAAGGGATAAAAATGGGACAGGAAGAAGTCAAATTATCACTGTTTGCAGATGATATGATCCCATATCTAGAAGATCCAAAAAAAACTTCACCAAACAACTGACAGAGCTAATAAACAAAATTTGGCAAAGCAGCAGTTTACAAAATCAACTTACAAAAATCAATAACTTTCCTACATACCAATACAAATGGCCAACAAATACAAGAAAAAATATTCAACATCTTTAACAATTATGGAAATGCAAATCAAAACTACACTAATCTGCTGAGAAAGAAAGCAGGAAGACAATTCCATTCACAGTAGCCTCAAAGAAATAAAATGCATAGGAATAAATCTATCCAAGGAGGTAAAAGACCTCTACAATAAAACTATAGAACATTAAAGAAAGAAACTGAAAACAACCTCAGAAATGGGAAGACCTCCATGTTCATGGATAAGCAGAATTAATATTGTTAAATGAAAATCATAGAGATCCCAAATAAACAAAAAAAGCAATATAGAGATTCAATGCAATCTCTATCAAAATACCAATGACATTTTTCTAGAACCAGAAAATAATCCTAAAATTCATTTGGAAGAATAAAAGACCCGGGCTGGGGCTGTGACTCAGCAGTAGAGTGCTCGCCTAGCGCGTATGAGGCCCTAGGTTCGATCCTCAGCATCACATAAAAATAAATAAATGGAGGTATTGTGTCCAACTACAACTAAAAAATAAATTAAACAATGATAATAAAAGATCCAGAAGAGCCAAAGCCATTTTAAGCCAAAAAAGCAATGCTGGAGGTATCACAGTACTTGACTTCAAATTTTACTACAGAAATGTAGTAACAAGAACTGCATGGTAGTGGCATAAAAACAGACATGTAGGCCAAAGTTACAGAATAGAAGAGAGACAAATCCACATGTCTACAGTCACCTGATCCTTGACAAAGTTGCCAAAACACATATTGGAAAAAAAGCCTTTTTAACAAATGGAACAACTGGTTATCCATCTGTAGAAAAATGAAACTAGACCTTTATCTCTCACTCTACACAAAAATCAACTCAGGATGGATCAAAGTCCTCAGAACTAGACCAGAAAGGGCTGGGGTTATGGCTCAGTGGTGGAGCACTTGCCTAGAATGTGTGAGGCACTGGGTTCAATTCTCAGCACCATATATAAATAAATAAATAAATATCCATTGACAACTTAAAAATATATATAGAGAGAATTAAACCACAAAATATGCAATTCCTAAAAAAAAAGTAGGGTCAACACTCCAGCTTTTAGGCACATGCAATAACTTTCTCAGTAGGACTCTTAAAGCTCATTTCCCACCAAGAGTTCATAAATGAAACAGCATCAAATTAAAAAGCTTCTGCACAGCAAAGGAAACAATTAGGAATGTGAAGAGAGAACCCATAGAATGGAAGAAAATCTTTGCAAGCTACTCTTCTGACAGATTAAGATCTAAAGAATATAGAGAGCTCAAAAAACTTTACACCAAAAATACCAAACAACCTAATTAATAAATGGGCAAATGAACTAAAGAGACACTTCTCAAAAGAAAAAAAATACAAATGGTCAACAAATACATGAAAAAATATTCAACATCATTAGCAATTATGGAAATGCAAATCAAAATACACTAAGATTTCATCTCACACTAGTCAGAATGGCAGTCACCAAAAATACAAATAATAGGCGCAGTGGCCCACACCTATAATCCAAGAGGCTCGGGAGGCTGAGGCAGGAGGATCATGAGATCAAAGCCAGCCTCAGCAACTCAATGAGACCCTCTCTAAGCAAAATACAAAAAATAGGGCTGGGGATGTGGCTCAGTGGCCCAGCTCCTGGTACTCCCCCCTCCCCCCCCCAAAAAAAAAGAATACAAATAAGAATAAATGCTGGAGAAAAATAAATGTGGACAAAAAGGAACACTTTTACACTGTTGGTGGGACTGTAAATTAGTATAATCACTATGGAAATCAGTATGGAGTCTCCTCAAAAGACTGGGCATGGAACCGTATGACCCCACTCCTTGTTATTTATCCTGAAGAATTAAAGTCATCATACTACAGTGATGCATGCATATCCATGTTTATTGCAACACCTGATGGACAGGCCAGGTGTCCATCAATGGATGAATGGATAAAGAAAATGTTGCACACATACTTGTACCTAGGAGTTTTATCAAACCATGAAGAAAAATGAAATTATGGCATTTGCAGAAAAATAGATGTAACTAGAGACGATCATGTTAAGAAAAACAAACCAAACTCTAAGGTTAAGGGTCATATGTTTTCTCTCATAGGCAGAAGCTAGGGAGGAAAAAGAAAAATAAAGGTGGGGGCAGATCTCATGAAAATCAAAAGGAGATCAGTAGAGGAAAGGGACCAAAGTGTGGGAGGTGGGGAGGGACGGGGCAAGTGCTGTGGAGGGCTATTGGCCAAATTATATTGTTGTATCGTGTGCATGTATGAATCTGCAACAAATCCCATCAGTATGTACAACTATAGTGCACCAATTAAAAAAATGTCGGGGAGGGAGGGGCTGGGTTTGTGGCTCAGTGGTAGAGCGCTTGCCCCTCACATAAGAGGCCCTGAGTTTGATCCTCAGCACCCCATAACAAATAAAATAAATAAAGATTGTGTCCATCTTAAAAAAAAACTTTTTAAAAAAATGTAGAGTAAAAAAGAGAGTTCAGCAAAGGACACACACACACACACACATTTTTAACTTAAGTAAAAATCATTCTTAGCTCGTGGGCAGTGGGCTGATCTGGCTGTTTTATTTTCATCACAGCACAAATCATTTCCCACCATTTTCTTATTTATTTGCCTTTTTCGTTGCTTGTCGTCAGGTGTCTCCTACTAGGAAGGAAGCTCCGCACCTGTCCTGGTGCATCCCCAGCACCTAGGAAGGTGCCTGGCACAGGGGGTGGGCTCAGTAAAGGCTGTGCAGTGACTGCTGTGCCACAGCAGCCACCCCTCAGCCTCTAATGACGGCAGGCAGCACCTGAAAGAACAAGTCCTTGGGGACAATGGCACCTCCAACCTCGTCCCCATCCCATTCCTTCCTCTTGTCTCTAGCAACTTTTCCCCATCTTTGCTATCCACAGTCCAGATGGGAAGCCTGTCTCTGAGGCCCAAGGACCCCCGACAAACCTGGAGGCTGAGAACTCGCAGGCTGAGAAGGCTGGCCGGTCCCTATTAGTGCTAAAGGTGAGGGGCTGTCGGGTGGCTGATCCAGCTCACAGACAGGGAGGAAGGCCCCCAGACTGACGGGTAGCCCCCACATCCAGCAAGGCCTCCTGCCTCACCACTCAAAAGGGAGAGCCGGTGGGGAGAAGTTGGTCCAGGTAAAACAGAGCTTCTGAGTCATTCCTCTCTGAACCTGAAACCAGTAACATTCAGCACAATAGCTAGTATATATGTAGTGCTCAACAGTGTTGAGGGCATGACTACAGCCACATATTGTGGTGACAAAAAAGGGCTCACTGCTAACTAGTATCCAGAAAAAGTCATTCCTTGATCCTCAGATGGGAGAATTCAAGTTTCCAAGGGGGACATGGAGGCACCCAGCTAAAGTCATCCATCTCATCCATCCATCCATCCACAATGCACAAGCCACCATATGCATGAGATCCAGTTTCCCGTGGAGGATGGCTTCCCTATGGATGAAGAAATGTGCGGTCTAGCAGACACGAGTCTCCTGTGTTCTGGGAGTAGTGATATTGCACACGAATTAGAGAAGTGGCACTTGGGCTTATTAGTCATGTTCTGATGGGGGTCAGCAAGCCCATCCTGTGGCTGCTGGTAAATAAGCCCACTCACGCCTGCCCCAAGCACTAAACTCACATCACGAAGATGTTATGTGAGGGGCCACATCCTGCCAGCCTGCATCCTCTGCCTGACCCCTTCTTTTGACTACTTTTCAAACCCAGTGGGTTTTGTGTCCACCAAAGCTATGCTTCTTACAGTGTAGTGTGCACAGACCCTGGCCATAGGACAACCTGCTGGAGGCTCAGCTGCTAGACAGGGTCTGAGAATACTGACTTCAACTTTATCCCACAGTGTGACGTCATCCAGAGTGGCTACTCTGAGAAGGCCTTGGTCTGGGTCTGTGGGCAGCTCACTCTGCTCTGAGCTCCTACTTCCACTGAAAAAGTTTTTCAAATTTTTATTTCATTTTTTTCATTGACAGCACACTTCATTGTTATTATTGCTCAGATTTTTCAAATTAGGTATATATGACAGCAGAATGCATTTTGACTCATTGTATACAATTACAGCACAACTTTTCATTTCTCTGGTTGTACACATGTAGCGTCATACATGTACCTAGGGTAATGATGTCCATCTCATTCCACCATCTTTCTTGCCCCCATGAAGGCTGATTTTTATTCAACCATTTCAAAACATTAAAAAAGTCCTTAGCTCCTATATAATATAAATAAATTCTCACTTGCTTCCTTACCCATCTTGTTGCTAGTTTATTGTGCCCCCTACCAGAATGGAAGTCACGTGAGAGCAAAGAGTATTGCATGCTGCCCTGGTGTATCCCCAGCAACTAAGATGAGTGCCTGGCATACAGCATGTGATCTATAAATGCTAGTTACGTGTGGGTCTGCCATTACTGTTTTTGCACTCTGGACAGGTGTGGAACTTGATTATTCCCAAAGAAAGACATCACTTGCACAAAGGCCTTGGGATGTAGCAGATTTTACTGAAGATTTGTAAAGTCGAAGGGGGTTTACATAGCAAAAATACAAAAACCTTTAGGTTGAATATCAGACACCCACAAGCTCAGTCATTTCCACCAATTGGGCTTCAGCCTTCTAAGGAGGGCCTTGGCCACCTCTCCCCATCCTTCCTCGGCACGTACAACAGAAGTCACATTCCAGTTTCTTGTGTATTCAGTCCTCCATTTGCAGAGTCCTTCCCTTTAGACCTTTCTCTGGGGCTTTTCTCCCCCTAATAATTGGCCATAATTATCTTTCCAATTAAGAATACTTCCCTCCTCATTGCTGAGACCAGGGTGAGAACAAAAGACTAACAGTGCGACCCACAGCTGGACAGTTCTAGCTGAGCCAAGGAGCGTGGGGCCCTCTGGTCTTCTTTGACTAGCACAGTAGAGCCTTTTCCCCTCTAAAAAGGGTGTGTTTGCGGAGGAGCAGTCAGGGGATTTTTTTTTTTCCCCAGTGCTCCATAGCATGCTGGCCAGTGCTCTACCACTGAGCTCCGCCCAGCCCAGGGGATGTTTTTAAATACCTAAGTTGTGACATTTTCAGAATGGTCACCTGGATTAGATGCAGTGCGCTCTCTCTCTCTCTCTCACTCACACACACACACACACACACACACACACGGTCATCTGTCCTCTGTCCTGCCCCTCTTTCCATGTGGATGCCGGCCAGGGGCATGATCAGCCCCTGCCCACCTCAGCCCTCAGTCTTGTCACTCCCTGGCTGGCATTCCAGGCTCAGTGGCTTTCTCTAGACACCTGGGGCACACCTGTCCCTTTCATGACTGGAGACCCAGGCTTCCTCAGCTTGGAATGCTGTTCCCTAGCCCTCTGGGGGCTGGCTCCCTGTTCTTCAGGAACCAGCCACAGTGGCCTCTGGCTTGCCTGCCTGCCCTTCCCAGGACCTGCACGTTCGGTTCCCTTTCTTACTCCTTCTTCCACAAAGGTAGCTCCTAAGTGCCAACGGGACCCTGTCTGTCTTGCTCACTGACACATCCTTAATGCCTAGCACAAAGCAGAAGTTAAATAAATATTTGCAAAATTAGTGAATAAAATGTATCAACAACATAATAAAGTTACTGGGCTCCATGCTTCACTCTCTTCCTAGTGCTGTGATTGCAGCAACCTGCGGTTCCAGCTATATGAAGGCCGAGGCAGGAGGATTGCTTAAGCCCCAGCCTAAGCAACAGTGAGTTCCCCATCTCAAAATTAAAAAATGGGGTTAGCATAGTACCTGTCCTATGAAGATTGTGGAAGTTCCCTTAAAAGTTCCCCTATTTAAGGACCAGGTAGGTAATGGGTGCTCCCACAGGGTGAGTGGAATGCTTTGACACAAGGGCAGGAGTGACTAAGGCTTTTGCAGAAGAGGTGACTCCTCATTGGTCGTTTTGGCATTGGGATGATTTTTTGGGGGGACGGGGAGTACTAGGGATTGAACTCAGGGGCGTTTGACCACTGAGCCACATCCCCAGCCCTATTTTGTATTTTATTTAGAGACAGGGTCTCATTGAGTTGCTTGGCACCTCACATTTGCTGAGGTTGGCTTTAAACTTGTGATTTTCCTGCCTCAGCCTCCCAAGCCACTGGAATGACAGACATGTACCACTGAGCCCAGCTTGGCACTGGGATTTGAACCCAGGGGCACTCTATCATTGAGCTACAACCTTAGTCGCCCCATCCTCCTTTTTTAAAAATGTTGAGACAGGGTCTCACTAAGTTGTGGAGACTGGCCTTGAACTTGCTACCCTCCTGCCTAATCCTCTTGAGTTGGTGGTTACAAAACGTGCACCACTGTGTCCGGCCTCATTCATTTTTGTAAAAATGAATCACAGGTGGCTAGTGGGAAAGGAGGGGAAGAGCACTACTGGCCATGGCCGTCTGTGGGGGGCAGCGTGCTCTGCAGAGTCAGTAAGTCAGGGAGGGTGCCTGGAGGGTTGGTAGAGCAGATCCTGTTTGCCATTGACCCCAAGGGTCATAGTCACCCGGGAAAAGAGAGGCAGCTATACCTGCAACCTCCTATGGTGAGCCATTTGGAATGTCCACCTATCAGAAGGCAACTCTCCGTTGGGCAGCTGAGTTCAGTTCATAAAGGGAAAGGGAAACTTACAACCAACACATGGGCTAGGAGGCAGCCACTAGGTGGCAGCAGAGAGATAGCCCCGCCCTCCTTTCCTCCTTGACACAGGGGTTTGTCTTTAATTTGTCCACAGCCAAGCAGCTTACCACACAACACCCTTCACCAGCCTTGGTCTGAAGCTGCATGGTGTTGCAGCTGTCAGTCAAGCTAGGAGGGCGAGCATCTTGGGCCTCCACATCCAAGCAGCCTGGGTCAGGGAGGAGAGGTCAAGAGCTGTGGTGGTGACCAGGAGAGGGGTCAGGAGAGCCTTCTGCAAATACACACCCGCACAGGGACATAGGTGCACACACCATCTGCCCAGGGATGCAGTCCTTAGCTGCCCCATCCTCCTCCTTTTTTTAAAATTTTGAGACAGGGTCTCACTAAGTTGTGGAGGCTGGTCTACCTGGGATCCTGATGCCAGAGGGGTTTAAACTGCTTTTTGATGAAAAGATAGAGGGGTAGAGGGAAATTAAGTGGCTTGCTTCTCTGGGATGACGTCCAGCTTCCTCCCATTTGCTTATCTAAATAATGCTGGGGATGTAGCTCAGTGGTAGAGTGTTTGTCTAGCATGCTCAAAGTCCTGGTTTGATCCCTAGCACTGCAGAAAAATAGTAATAAAAATAAAATAAATACTGCCCATACTTCAAGGGCCAGCACTCCTCAAGCACCACTTCTTTAAATCTTCCACACCCTGATCTCTGTTATCTCTGATCACCAGTTGCTTCAGGGATCAGCCCACCACAGATGGCTTCCCAGTCTGACTCTTCAGACCACAGGCTCCTGCAGGTAACAGCAATGCATATTTATTGAACACATGGATATGCTCAGACTATAGTAGGCACTTACATATACGAGGTAGGTTATTATTATTACACCCATTTGACAGATGGGGAAACTGAGGCATAGGGAAATTAATGAACTTGCACCAAGGTCAAAGTCAGTAGCTAGTCTGACTCCAGAGCCCTTGCTCTGAAACACCACTCCACAACATCTCCTTGATTCTGCTGTTATCATTTTTGTATTCCCATAGAATTCTCCCTGAGCACTGGGCATACAGTAAACATGCCTGTTCAGCTGCAGGCTGCTAGAACTGTGGTTCCTATTAGGGAAGATAATACCAAAGAGCCACTAGGTGGCAGCAAAGAGCCAGGCCCAGGCTCTCCCTAGGGCCGGCAGAGAAGAGCTAATTACCATTAAACATTTTGGTGCAGCTTGCGCTAGGCACTTTACAGACATCCCCTCTCCTCCTCTGGAAGGGCTTTGTAGATAAGTGCTGTTGCTTTCCCACTTCGCAAGGAGGAAAGGAGATTGGGGCTCAGATGGGTTGAGAAATTTGCTAATGTCAGGCAGCAGGAAAGCTAGGACTAAGCCAGGTCTGCCTACACCCAAAGTCCCTGCCAGTTCTGAGATGAGCCAAGGAACCCCACAGTGGGGTACCTCTAGGCTGAGTGGGTTCCACTACCTTCCACCCCAGCCCCAAGGGACACAGAAACTCCTGGGGAGGAAGGTAGCTAGCCCAAGGCTGGTTCCAAGGAGGTTACCATATAAGAGGCCCCACAGATGGTTATTTGAAGCAGGACTTACAGACCATCAGAACTGGAAGGATCACAGAGACCACGGGGCTGCGATGGTTACTGGACCAACTCTCTGGCCCTTCACCACCATGCATATGGAGGCTTCTGATGTCAATCATCCAAATGCCTCCACCCGGCTTCAGCCTGGCCACCTCCTCCCTCTGCCCCTGCCTTCATTTGGATGTTGAAAACTATCTAGACGGCCTGACCATGTCATCTTCCAACAACTCTTATCACCTCCACACCTAAACTCCAAGCTCTGGTAGACGGGGCCTGGTGCCAGCTGTCAGCGGCAGTGGCAAGACATCAAGGTGCAGTCATGTACAAGAAGCTGAGGGTGCATGGCCCAGGTGCCCATCGACCCTTGGGCCTCTCGTGGCCAGCAGCAACAGGAGAAACAGATGAGGGGCTCGAGCAGCAGTAGAGACATCAGGACTTGAGCTTCGGCACCAGGAGATGCTCCTGGCTGGGGCCACTGGGGTGGCTGGCTTGAGGACTGCAGGGGTCCATCTGTGGGCACTGTGTCCAGTCTGCCTCCCAGACAGCCCCTCTCCCCCAGTCCCTCCCAGGGCTCATTCAGCTAGACCAGCTCCTCTGAAAATACACATCTTGGGTTTATTTGGGGATGGGCATTGCAGGATCAGGCACTGTTTCTTTCTGGCAGGAAGAATCATGACCACTCTGCTCAGCTCACTTAGCACTTCAGGGGGATGTCCCTGCAGGTCCCCTCCCCATGTCCCCATTTCCTGCACACATGTCCACCCCCCTCCCTGCTCCCCGAGTCTCTCATTCTTTCACCAGCCGGTAGATGTGGTGTTGAGCCCCATGCTCGCTGGCCGACACCTCAAACACATATGCGATGCACAGCAGGGTCTCCTGTGTGTCTCTGTTGGTGACTACCTGTAGGAGAGACAGAGGAGACACGGTTAAGGCTCCACATGGGGACGACATGTGTGCCATCCGCCTACGGACCACAGTCCCAGGCCTGCGGCCCCCGCCCGCACACCTGCAGGATGGTGAAGTTCTCCAGCACGCTGTTCATCATGTACTTCTCGGGCAGATGCTTCAGCTTGTGGATGAAGTTGATCATGTATTCGCAGAGTGGGGACCGGTGGATGCGGTATGAGTAGTGGCCATTCTCATAACGGGCATACTCTGTCTGCAGGACCCAGAGGACAGTAGGGGCTTAGACTCCCTTCACCTGCCTCCCAGGCCCCATTCACAGGAAAGCTCCCACAACCAGTCACTTTTAGCAGGAAGAAAAGGCAGGAGGCCTAGAGGCCTGAGAGCAGGGCCAACCTCTGAAGTTCAGTGACATTAAACCAAGTCTCCCTCCCTCATTAGGACAGGCGGATGAGGGGAGCTTAGAGACCCAGGAGTGGCAGCAACAGATGAGATGGAATAGGTGCTTCTCAATTCTGGCTGCGCACTAGGGGACTATGGGGCAGAGAGTACCCAGGGACCCTTGTGGGGCTAGAAACCTACTATGGCGTAGATGTGAGGTGTCGCAAAAGCTAATGTGTGAGACAATGCTAGAAGGCTTGGAGAGGGGAATGGGATAAGTGGAGGAACTCTGGATGGGCCAAAGGGGAGGGAGGGGAAAGGAGGGGGCATGGGTATAGGAAAGATGGTGGAATGAGACGGACATCATTACCCTAGGTACATGTATGATTGCACAAATGGTGTGACTCTACTTTGTGTATAACCAGAAGTGAAAAATTATACTCCATTTATGTACAATTAATCGAAGAGCATTCTGCTGTCAGGTACAACTGATTAGAATGAATGAATGAATGAATAAGAGGGGAAAAAAAGGCTGAGAGGAGAAATGATTGGGTCGTAGTCTTAACCTAATGAGTAAATTAATCACGGATGGGATTAACTGGGTGGTGGCTGGAGGCAGGTGGCATGTGGCTAGAGGAGGTGGTTCACTGGGGCCGTGGGTATGGGGTATATATTTTGTATCTGGTGAGTGGAGTCTCTCTGCCTTCTCATCATCATGTGAGCTGCTTCTCTCCACCACAGTCTTCCCCCAAGATGTTTTGCCTCACCTAATGGAGCTGGCTACCTAGGGATTGAGACCTCTGAAACCGTGAACCCTTAAATAAACTTTTTCTGCTCTATAATTGTTCTTGTCAGGTCTTTTTAGTCACAGCAGTGAAAAAGCTGACTAGAACAAAGCCCCATGTACCTGGACTCTGGCAGTAATCATGGGAATCTACACACATGGTGCACACACAACTCTAGAAATCGGAACCAGATTGGTGGGTTAGACTGACATCAACTTCCTGATTATCAGTGAAGTTGCCCAGTTCTGTGGGAAGCTTCCAGTGCAGGAGTAGAGGGGGGGAGGTATGTGGGATGGATTGCAGGCCTGTCCAAAATTTTTTAAATTAAATAATTTGGGCCTGGCAGTGTAGCTCAGTGGGAAAGCATTGGCCTAGTATGTGCAAAGCCCTGGATTCAATCCCCAGCACTGCAATAATGAATAATAAATAAAATTGCCATCACCTGGTCCCCACTCCATAGATGAGGGTACACAAAATGAGTGGGGGTAGGAGCTTTTGATGCGTTTCAAAGGCCCCCAGGTGATTCTAAGGAACAGCCAGGGTTGGGAAACTCGAGGACAGAATATCTCTTGCCTGCTCATCTGGTTGTTTGGCATGATGTAGCTTATCAGTAACTGATGGTCTGTGACAGTAGGACTTCATTAACTCAGACCATTAATTTCAGAGGAAAGAGGGGAGGATGGCATCTAGTCTGACATTGCAGCAACCTCACAAGCCTGTGGCACTGCACAGGACTCAGGGACACAGGTGTTCTGGAATGGAGGCATTTCATCCCATCTCCTGGGCCACTGTGACAGAGAGACACCTTGTCACTTATTTAGAGATAAATGAAGGGTTTTATCATCCCCCCTCCCAAACATCCATCAGAAAGCAGGGGGGCTGATATTTAAACCCGGGTCCTGGGAATTTGTGGCCCCATTACCCTGCGCCCCTGTACTGGCAGACCCCACTGCCCTAAAGGAAGTGAAGTTTCTGTCACACCCACTAGTGTGGGTCTCCAGGGTACTCAAAAATTGAGGAACAGAGACATGAACAGTTTTCAGCATTTGCGGAGTAAACAGTGAGCAGGGAAGCAGGGACGAGACCCTGGAGCTCTGTTGTTGACATCCTCTGCCCCTGCTCTCAGAGAGGACCTGGGATGCCTGTAAGGATGTGCTTGGAAGTGGGGTCCCAGGGTGGGAGGGTTAGTGGTGGCACGCAGAACTGTGCAGGCAACAGGGAGCTTGTTGATGGTCCACAGCTAGAGGGCGCTCTTCCCCGACGCACACAGAAGCCATGTGGAGCCCACCTTCCACAGGGAGGCTCTGAACAATCCTGTCCTCAGGAGAGCCCCAGGGAAGGAGGCCACTCGGCCCTCATGCCCCCCACACACCCACCCACCAGGGTGGCCTCCTACCTCAACTTTCTCCACCACCTGCTTGCCGAATGAGCAGACCTTGGTAGAACAGGTGATTATCATGTTCTCGGGACTCTCATACTGGCTGGAGACTCCATAGAAGGAACTGCCCTCGTCCTCGATATTGGTGTTGAGGTCTGCCTGCAGGGAGACATGGGAAGCCAAGGACACGGTCAGCAGAGCCCTATCAGACGAATAGGCTCTGAGTCGAGGAGCCCCTCAAGGTCACAGTGCAACCTCTTGGGCTGGGAAGAAATCAGGAGGGCTTAAAAAGAATGTGTTGGACCAGCGGTGGCACATGACTGTTATCCCAATGGCTTAGGAGGCTGAGTCAGGAGGATTGCAAGTTCAAGGCCAGCCTCAGCAACTCCCTGTGTCAAAATATAATGGGTTAGCTGAGTGGTTAAGTACCCCTGGGTTCCATTCCTGGTACCAAAAAAAAAAAAAAGAATGTGGACAGAGTTGGAGACGTAGCTCAGTGGCAGAGGGCTTGCCTAGCATGCATGATGCCATGGGTTCCACTCCAACACACAGAAAACATGGATTATAGATGTTGGAAAGCTTCCAGCATTCTCTACACCCAGGCCTGCTGTAAACTATGGAAAAAGAGAACACTGGGGCCTACATTTGCTTTAAGCTACTGCCACCGGCTCAGATACTATAACATCTAGTAAGTAGGTTCCCCAATTTTGTTTCTAGAATCTTTGAGTTTTACAGTCTGAGTTTGTTCTTAACAAACTGCAGACATACAAATCCTTATCATTTTTATCTTAGTATGAATTAATTTATTAGAACCTTTCGAGAGTCAATGTTAACAATGAAGAATGCATGAGAACAGAAAGCCAAAACAGTGGACTGATAGAGAGGATGCAAGGGACATCTCCAGGTCTCCTCCTCTGGCCAGCTGGTCACCAGATCCTACTGATGCTCTTTCAGAAATGGCTCTGGGGCTGGCCTCTCGTTCATCTCTATGGCATTCTGAGTACAGTCACCTTTGATCTTTGCACATTTCTCTCTCTCAGCCTCCAAACCAACCTCCCCAATACCAGTCTTCCCCGCCTTCTGGTTCATTCTCTTAACTGCTGAGATTTGCCTTCAGAAACGAAGTCTGAAACCTGGGGTGGCACCTATAGATCCAGCTACTCGGAGGCTGAGGCAGGAGGATCACTTGACCCCAGGAGCTCAAGTTCAGCCTGGGCAGCTGGCTCCAGGGGTCTCCATGAGCCCTGTTGCTGGTCCTTTCCACCCACTCCTCACAGGCCCCAGGACACCCTGCTCTTCTTTCCTGTCCAGCTGGATATGGAGCTGATCTGAAGTTTATCTGCAATGCTTCCCTCTTAGTAAAGGAGGACTAAGTGGTAAAGGGGATGGGTAAGGTGGACTGTCAACAGCACATACACACCTCAGCCTCAGTTTAGCATGAGGCTCCCTAACAGCAGTTAGGTCTTGCTCAAGGTCACATGGCTCAGGCTGAGGTCGGCAGGCTCCATCTGCAATGCCTGTCCCAACCCAACAAAGGGAGGCAGGCACTGTATAAGCCAAATCGCTGCCTTAGGGACTGATGCTGGAATTGTATTTCTGAAACTCTAGGCCATTTAGGGGTGCCCACATCCAGAACTCAGGCCCCACATTAGATTACTTTGCTTGTCAGGACTCAGGAGACGCACAGACATCATGAAAGGCTGCTTCTTAGGGTGAGGCCGCTCCACCCACCCACACAACTGGTCTGAAATCAAAAACTGCAGTGATGAAACAGAGCACAGCCCCACACATGTATTGGGAGTGCAGATCATGGTTCAGGTTATAACCCTCAGGATTCTTCTGAACCCAGATATGGTGATTCCCAGAACCCCAGGAAGATCTGAATCAGGTCCAGGCAGTTCTACTATTGGCCACTAGGGGGCACACAAATACCATTTCTCTCCTTTTGGAGTTCTCCAAGAGCAAGACCTTCTGTAGACCAAAGGGTGTTAATTGCCTTATGGCACAATAGAAATATTATGGAGCCACAAAAAGTGCTAGGAAGTACCTGTGTTTATTATTGTGGATGAACACAAACACAGTGAGTGAGGAAAGCAGGCTATGGAATAGAATGAGGGTGTATTCTTTTTAGGATGTTTTAATGTTGAAATAGAATGGTATATGGTTCGGTGAGTTCCGTGTTGGTGTTAATGAGGCCATTAGGAGGAAAGTAAAAGAAAAGAATTACAGCAGCATTCAAGCCAACGCTCAGACTCTGAAACAAACAACTGTGTTTATTCAATACCCTCCCACCCTTGGGTTGGCCTCAGTTTCCCCTCTCTGCCTCTGTTGTGTCCATTGTGAGTCCAAGAGGGAAGGCAGTCCTGGCAGAAGTGCATCAGGCCTCTGCTGGGCCAGAATTCATTGCAGCCATGGTCCAAGATATTCTTGTGAAATGACAGGTAAAATGGGGTAAGAACCTGGGTTTTCTCTGTCCCAGTTTCCCTGTCATGTGTTCCTTCTAGAAGGCCGAGTTTGCCAGACTGATCCTAAGAGGGGGTTTAGGGACCATTTGTGTGCTCAGGATATGCTGCAACTAGAAGCCCATGGCAGAAATGTGGATTATGCCTAAAAAAATGCCAACAGGAGGCCCAGCTGCCTGGGAAGGGCCAGCACCAAACATGGAGTGAGACCAGGGCATTGAATAGTCACCATTCTCAGGCAGTAGCCACTGGTGGCCTGCTCTGATCAATGCTACATTCATGTATCATCTGCCACATATCCAACTATGCCCCTCACAGTGCCTTTTAAATCAATTCACTTTTATTCCTTGATTTCATTTTAAGCAATCGATCCATGAAAGTAAAGATTCTATTTTTCCCATGTAAGTGTCAATAATCACAGAACTATTAAAGAAGAAACGTCCATGCGTGTGCTACCTAGAACGCTGTGCACCATGTTAAGAACTGGCTGACATCCACCCTCTTCCCCATACACAGAAACTGTTATCCTATCCCAGAACCCCAGTGTCTATTTGTACACTCCATTTCATTGCTCTAGGCTGTCATGACCTATCTAGATGGAAAGTTCCCCGGGGAGCAAGAACTAAGCTCTCTCCAAGCCCTTGGAAAGTGCTGGTCCAGGTGGGCCTTCAATAAATGTTCCATGAGGCAGACTGAGGTGACACATGCCTGTAATCCCTGCTACTCGGGTGGCTGAGGAAGGACTGCCACACTGGAGGCCAGCCTGGGCAACTTAGAACCTGTGTCAAAATAAAAAATTCAAAGAGGGCTGAGAATGTAGTTCAGTGGTAGAGCACTTGCTTAGTACGGGCAATGCTCTGGGTTCCATCCCCAATACCCCCAACTCCTCCCTTCACAAAGTTGCATGCTGCTGATCCACCTCTCACCTCCGGGTGGCGCTGCATGAGAGGAGCCAGGTTCCTTGGTCTCAAAGAACCCATTTACCTACTTTGGGGAGTTGGGGGATGCTCCACTCCATCTCAAATACAATCTAGGTCTTCTGTCATCACCTCCCACTCTCTTGGCCCTTCTAATCATTCAGTTACCCATTTATCCAGTCCCAGCCCAGCACTGCTAGGGACAGTGAGGGCAGTCATTCTGCTCTCAAGCAATTTGTACCTAACTGGGAGAGCACACAGAACTGGTGAGCTGGTGGTCAGGTGGGAAGAAGCGGGGAGAGAGGAAGACACTGCCAGGTCTCAACAGGGGAAGTCAGCCCCAGAACCGGCCTGGGGTTGCACTGCACAGACCCAGGAGGCAAGGGCCAGTGACACAGACGACCCGGCTCACAGCACTGCATCTTGTCCTCGGTGCACAGACCCTTCCAGTTTCAACCACCCCTCTTCCTGAGCTGTAGTATAGGCATTTCCCCTTCACCCTTAGACCCCCCCACTCTAGACACCTCTCCCAAACAAGTTTTCTTTTCAATTTTCTCAGCCTAAGAAAAAAAGAAAGCTGCCCACCCCTTCTCACCACCCTGCCCTCTGAATGCCCCTTTCTCCTCTCCTTCTACCCTATTCATAGCTGTGCGTGCGGGTGGGAAGTTCACAGGCTGTGCCTGGAACAGGTGTGGAGGATCGAGTGACGGACAGATGAGCCAAGACAGCCGCAGCAGGGTGTGGGGGCCTGGAGGGGCTCAGATTCATTGTCATGTGCTGGTATGTGCCTGGGAGAAATGTCAGGGCCCAGAGGGGAGTGGGCTGGGATGGGAGGAAGGCCTGGGGCACCCTCCTGCCACTGTGGCTCAGCTCAGGCCCTGTCCAGCATTTCACCATGTGGCCTGGTGTTCATGACCCCCACTGTACAAGAATCTCCTCTCCCTGTCCCAAGGACAGTGGCCTCTGCTGGTCTCACAGGCTACTCAGTCCCCCACTCCAGGCCTGCAGTACTCATCAGATAGTGCTCGGCCTCTGCACCTCCACTTCCACCTCTCCTGCAAGCAGATGCCATTTCCAGCAGGGGCCTTCTCCTGGCAGGCCACGGATCTGTGGATCATTGTCTCCAGGGGAGGGAGGAAGGAACTTCGATTGGGACATCAAGGTGCCCCCAACCTCACCCCATGAGGGTACTGATCATGGCCCCTGGACGCCTGGAGAGAAGGAAGCAAGCAGAAAAAGAAAAGCCAGCTTTGGGAGAGTTGGCATTGTTCCCTGCTGAGTGGCTTCCTTCCTCCTTGCAGGGCCAGCGCACCCAGCTGATGGCAGGAGAGGGAGAGAGCGGGCCAGGGAGCGGGGGAGCCGCCTGTGTCTCCTAGGTCTCCCCATTAGCAAGCAAGCACGTTCCCCTTTCCCTGCTTGTCGTGCCTCTACCCTCCCTCCCCACGAGGACTGACAGATGGACAGATGATTGCCAAGGTGCCCTGGCCTCTGACATGCCCTCGCTTCTGATTTCACTGTCCTCACAGTGCCCAAGCTACTGGCACCGAGCAAGAGCCTGGCTCCTAGGGCTCAGGGGAGGGGTGGGAGAGGAAGGGGGAGGGGTGGGAGGAGGAGGGGGCAGGGCCTCCCCTTTGTCACCATGGCCCCATGCAGCTGGGGACAGGAAACCGCCTGACTTTTTAGCCCTCCACACTCTCCAGATAGTGGATACAACCCAAGACCCCAAGATCCATTGTGGATTCTCCCTAAAGAACCAAGCACCTAGAAGACAAGCCCCCAC